GAGCGAATTGCTCTGGGGAACCTGTTGTGTGAGTTGCTGGCTTTTTGGCTAGACTTTGAGGAGGGTTTAGACACGCATATCGGCGGAGATAGACGACACGCCATTTCTTTAAATAAAATTAATTGGTGCTCGTTTGTATGTACATACATATGTAAATGCATGTGTGTGCCCGCTTCTCATATAACGGTAAATTTCAGAAATGCTTGAAACTTCAATATTTCGAAATTGAAGGACGCTAATTTACTCAAAATTGATACACCCCGGCTTACCATCTAGCGGAAGGTTTCGGAAAGGTGAAAAAACATATATTTAATACTTGCGCCGGGTATTTAATGTTCGGCTTCGCCCGAACTTAGACTTTCTTACTTGTTTTTATATTATTTATTTCAGTACTATATTTTCTCTCGAATGGCTCATACCAAAGCTGCATTGGAAATAGCCATTTCACAGCCATGAGTCTGCCCAGCGTCTCTAGAAACATAAAACACATATGCAGGCTTGTTGTAGAACACAAAAATTTTGAAATAAGTTTTCCCAATGCTGCTGACCACTACAACAGCATTAAGAGGGGGTAAGTTGTATAGACATATGGAAAAATACGTTTATTTATAAAAATATTTTCAGTTTTCATAACAAATTCGGAATTAAAGGAGTAATAGGTACTATTGACTGCACACATGTGGCCATAATTGCCCCGCCATCTTCAACCCCTGGAGTAGTTTCCAATAAGTATATGAATAGGAAGGGATTCTACAGTATTAATGTTGAAGCTGTAAGTATTTAAAATTCTTGCTTGCACTAGCAACATGTTGGAATATTTAATAATACGTGAATCACCCGATTCCTAGATTTGCGATGATGCGCTAATTTTCCGGAACATAAATGCACGATTTCCTGGCTCATGCCACGACGCTGGTATTTGGACAACATCACCGATAAGGATTAAGGTCATCACAGAGCACGTTTCAGGAGTATTTAAATGGCTTTTGGGCGACTCTGGTTATCCCTTGGAGCCTTGGCTTCTTACGCCAATAGCAAGCCCTGCATCAGCCAATGAACTCCTTTTCAACAAAGTTCACATAAAGGCTAGAAACGGTATAGAGCGCGCATTTGGGATCCTCAAATCTCGCTTCAGGTGTCTATCAAAAGAGCGTGTGCTCAGATATAGCCATACAAATGCCGCATTTATTGTATATACATGCGCAATTTTCCACAATATATTGCAAAAACGAGGTATTTATATAACAGAGGAAACCATGTTGCCAGAAGACTCCACTCCAGATAATGCTGGTGCGAACGAGCCAATGGAATTGACAGAGTATTACTCCGAAGGCGGAAGGGCACGTCAAAGTTGCCTAAACGCTTTAACCATATAAAATTTTGGATTCGTTATACTTTAATTGAAACCGGTATATGTAACTGAATACTCGAATCGAAAAGATATTAACTGAAATCAAATGTGGTTTTAAAACAGCTTTATTGTCCATAGCTTACAGAAATTTAGTTCAATAAAAAACTTACATATCTATGTAAACAAATAGCTTTCAGCTTTTAGTTCAATAAAAGGGTGCATGCATACATATGTATGTAGTCTTTAATTCAATAAAATCATACATAAGTATGTAAAACCCCATAACTAAAAAACATATTCCTTTAAACCAAATACATAAATTGTTAATCAATGGAAAATATGTATATCCATAGCTTACGACTATTTAATTCAATAAGTACATACATATGTATGTATGTAATGAGGTCTCGTTTTCAGTCTTTAATTCAATGTATGTGTGTGACCAGGTAGCTTTTTAAGTTTTTAATTGAGTAAAAGTATACATTCATACGGTGACGGAAAAAAAAATTTCACAAAACTAATTTTTGGCAATACTCACAATGTTTTTCATGCTACATTTTTTGAGAATTTTTACTAAGGACATAGTTTCTACGATAACAAAAACCGTTTAAATCAAAGCTTAGAACTTCGTATAAACTTAAATAAATCGGAAAATTTTCATCTTAACTTCAAACCTGTTAATCAGAATGTGTTTTTTGTTATCGTAGAAACTATGTTAAATATTAGAAAAAATTATCACAAAAAACTTTTTTTTCCGTCACCGTATGTATGTAGGCAGGTAACTTNTATTTAATACTTGCGCCGGGTATTTAATGTTCGGCTCCGCCCGAACTTAGACTTTCTTACTTGTTTGACTATGGCTTGGGACAAGGTCAATATTGCACTGGCCATATTGTTCATGGAATTAGAAAATTCTGCCATGCATTTTAGAGATTCTTCTCTGTATTTTCTTTCTTCGTCATTCCTCTCCCTTATAGATGCCATCATCTCTCCGAACATCTCACCAGAGGTTCCTTTGCGGTGACGTGAAGTTGTCGGAGTATCAGTTAATGCGTCCGTCGTTTGGACAATAGGACTACCGGGGTCGTAAGAAATTAGTATTTCAGTCTGAAAAATCAAAAATAGTTGTTTTGCATATAAATACATTAATTCATATGTACGGTGCGTATGTTACTTGATAATGAAGAAAGAAGTTTAATCCTGACAGTATATGTGTACTACCTCGGCACCAACGTTTGGGATATCAGTCATCCCGTCAACCACGGCCGACCCGAAAGTTTCCAATGCCTGTTGCTCCCTCTCCGTGAGTTCCTCTTGCAAGCAGGGACCTCCGCCCGTCACCAAGCAATAGGCCTTTGCCTTCCTAGCCCTGGATCGGACTTGGTTTTTCCAATGGGCTAAAGACTGAAATAAAAATAATGTGGAACTCTTATAACGCACAATTTTTTTATATATGTTTTAAGATTTACCTCTTTCCATTTAGCCGGAGTACGTATCGGCCCTTTAAGAGCGTTAAGTTTCTCTGCTAGCTCTATCCACAGCTCCTCTAGCCTTTTTGGACGTGTAGGATCATTTTTATTGAGCTTTAACTCAGGGTGGCTCCGCATAAATGACAGGTAGCACTCAATTTGCTCCTTGCTTGTTCGCGTTGTCTTGTGTATGTCTGCAAAATAAAAATACCTTATTTTCAAAGAAAATTAACAAAATAAGAAAATTTTATTTGTTTACAATTACTTACCTTCATCGGCCATTTTAGTTGAATGTGAATAGCGATGAAATACGGCATTAATCGATTGCTCACTTTTCTGTCCTTTATATATTCTCTTGGATAATCGATTCAGATAAAACGCTTATAAAACACGATGATAAAATATTTTTGTATAAATGCTTAGTAGTAATCACATTCTTTATACTTCTAACGAAGATTTTGTTTTTTAAATGCGTTTAAAAACCCTACTTTCGTATGTAATCGATTAATGAATATTTGCTGAACTCTTTTATCATCTCCAATTGGAACATGCTATCAGCTGATTGTCTCTGTATGTATTCACTACACATTTTTGGTGAACTTTTTGTGACTCTCTCTTACTGAATACCAAAATCGATTCAAGTCACAAACAAAGTCGCAAAAAATTTGTCTCAAATTTAGTGACTTGAGATGAGACCGAGTTATGGAATCCCAGTATTATTCTGAAGGTTGCAAACCGAAAATGAAGTCAGCGGTACTGGGACGAAGATTGAGTGCTGATCGCTTTAAACAAGGCAGGAAAACCTGGTCTCAAACAAACGATTTATTACTTAATCTGCAATATAATCTAGTGATGAGCGATATTTCGTACCGGTGATTTTATCACTGTGATTTAAAAATCGCTTATAGTGACTGCTACTGCTAAACCCAATATCAGTAATTGGTAATTTTTTCTACTCGCATTATATTTCGGTATAAGTTAAGAATACGAACGTTGCAAAAACTAAAAAAATAAGTGTGAAGGTTAGAAGTTTTTGAGACAAGTATAACGGTGTAATTTTTTTGAGGCGGAAACGACAACTACGATAGTTACGAAATGTCAAAGGTCAAATGTAGCGCTTTTTTTTCAAATCCAAATATCTCAAAAACCATCGCACGTATTCTAAATATTTTGATGTCATTTAATAGGAAATCTGAGACGCTTTAAAACACAAATTTTAAACAAACACATTTTTCTTTAAAAATTTACTTATTAATTACACATAAATATATAGTGCACAAATCAAGCTTTCATTTGATATACAACATGTTGGGTTTAGTTTCTCGCAAATCGGAGTATTTCAAAAAAATAGCCCTGGTCGGTCCAACGTCGGCTACGCTGTTGAGAGTATTTTTGCTCTGAACTTTTTTATCACACTATTCAAAAAAGGTACGCAGCGGCTGACCGGTTTTTCGTTTTTATTTGAGCATTTTAAAAGATTCGAATGTATGTCGCTTTATTATATCAATTGTAAGTATGGCAACTATAAGCGGATATGCGTTATTTTAATAACTAACGGGAATTGCATTTTCTGTGTGTATTTCAACGCAATCACTATTTGTTAATACATTATGGAAGAAATTAATTTACTAAAGTTATATGATTTATTTGGATACAGGGATGAAGGCCCATTAAATATCCGTGCACTTGAGGCCATACAAGAGTGGGGTTTAATTCCGCGAGAGTGTACTTATTTTTGTCCAGTAGTGCAATTCACTACTCTATTTTATCGTTTTTCGCATCGTGAAGTTAGCTAAAAGTAAATTTTATCGATTTTGCTATTCATTAAACGTTTCTCTAACGAAATTCGCTTTGACAAAATCAGCTGTTATCATTAACGTTTTGATTGTGGCTAAGTTCTCGACAAAATTTTTTTGTCGTTAACATAATCAAAATTTCAAGTTTTTAGTTGCGCTTTGTTTTAAAAATGGCTTGCGAGTACTTGGGATACACCCAATTTCGGAGCGATCGGGAGTCTAGTCCTCCAACAGTGGATCGACGTGTGTTGAGAAATGTGGGCAATCCATTTCATTTAGGACCAACGGAGTTCAAGAAATTGTATCGCTTAAGTCCAAACTTGGCAGATGACCTAGTTTGGCAGCGTGCTGGGCATCTAAGAGGCTCAAGAGTAGCCGCAATAAAGACGGAAAAACAGGTAACTTACACAACTTTTTAGTTTTACTGCAAATTTAAATACTTTTCGATTGTGCCTGGATAGGTTCTAGCTGCCCTACGATTTTTTGCGACAGGATGCTTCCATCGGCNTCATCGATAAGCCGGTCCATACACCGCGTGACGGATGCTATTTATCATAATATGTTCTGCTCCAAGGTACGATTTCCAATGACGCAAGCGGAGCGGCAAGCCGCAAAGGAAATTTTCGCTTCCGCCTCCTCACCTTTCGTTGCAGGCACTATTGGTGCTATCGACTGCTCTCATATCGCTATTTTGAGCCCGAAGAACCATGAGGAGGCTTATGTAAACCACCATGGTTACCACTCAATAAATGTACAAATGGTAAGAGAGAAATTTTATAAAAGATTAAAAATTATAAAACCTATTGTTGAGCTGCAAAGCTTTTTTTGCAGCTATTAAACTCCAAATTAACAAAAAAAGGTCAACACCTTTGATTTGTTGAAACAACTTAATTTTTATTTAATTTTTGATTTCGAATTCTAAACGATGATGTTGCCATGAGCTTAAACTATAAAATGCACCTATGCCGCTGCTGAGCTGCTGCTCAGTTCTATTGCCAAAATCGAATGATTGCAAATCTTAATTCCGCATGAGCAATAGCCTATTAGTGTAGGTATATATGTATACATTATGTACAAAATGTTTGTTCTTAATAGTGAGCATAAAGGGGAATTACGGAGTTTACAACGGTGATATTTAATTCTATGCAGATGAGAGCCTCGAGCGATAAAAAGTAATACATAGTTAAACTTGTTCTTTTTTTACATGCTCTCATTATTTGATATACATATGGACCGTTTTTTATGGATATGTGTACATGCTTGTACGCCCGCCTTAAGAGCCACAGCAGTTGTACATACTATGTACACATCATATCCCGTTCGCCTGCATTCGTCCAGTATAATAGTATGTATGAGCCCAAGTAATTACCCTCCTCCATGTATAGGCTCATATGTTTTGCAATTGGAATATAAAGTGAGTGGTTTTACAATAATAATGTACATATGTTCAATAGCGGACTGGGAATATTTATGCTAGGGTGGTACAAAATGTTTAGAAGTTTAAACAAAATGATAAAAATATTTGAAGCTTAAATGTAACGCTTTATATTGCGATGTGAGGCTAATGATTTATGTTGATTGCATTATCGGCTGCTGCTCCGAATACCTGTTTTTATATGTATGTATGTATGTAGATATGTGACCCACACCTGAAAGTTTTAAATGTGAAGGCTAGATATCCGGGAGAACGTCACGACTCATTTATTTGGAGCTCATCTGCAGTACGAAGAGTAATGCAACGATCATTCGAAAATGGTCACCATAATATGTTTTTAATAGGTAACTACATTTGTGTACATTGTTGAATACTATGTTACTACATAAACCGTTTCTGCAGGCGATTCTGGCTGATGACTCCTTTGTCAAATCAGTCAGAGGGAACTCCGAAATATCGCTACAATGAGGCATTGTGCAAGGCTCGCAATCCAGAGGAGATGCTATTTGGTGTCCTTAAAGCAACTTGGCGATGTCTATCACGGCAAAGGATTATTTTATATGATCCAGGATTTGCTGCGAGCAAACGAACGAGTTCAATGATGTTTTTTCGGACACCGATGGTTTGTTTTCAGAGCGTGCAGCGGAGAACATTTGGGTAAATCTGGATACCCCATCCTCAATAGCAAAACGCGTTAAGGACCGATTGATCGCTAATTTTTTTAGCTAAGCCAAATATTCAAATGGTATCTACCTGTGAAAACTTCAAATGGAATAATAAGAATGTTTTCATGTAAATGTAGCGTTTTATTATTTTAAAATTCAGTCTTACTTTTAATTAAATTTTCTTTAGGTACATACATACATATATTTTAATTTGAGATCAGCCTCAATATGTATACAGAATACATTCAGGGACTGAAGTATAAATTGGGTCGGGACATTTTATGAAGTTTAGGCTATTTGGCTTTGGTTTATTAAATGTTTGTTATTTCTTTATGAAAGCATAGCTCATTACCTAACCAAAACCATATATATAAATCCAAATTACAGACTTTCTAAACTAAAGACTCTAATTAAGAAGTTTAGAAAATTTGGCGAAACTGTGCAGAATATTCATAATTTTTGCACAAAGTCTGCAATTTGAATTTATATGGCTTTTATTTGGCAACCAGCTATGCTTTCATAAAGAAATAACAAACATTAAATAAACAAAAGTAAAACAGCCTAAACTTCAAAAAATGCCCCGACCCAATTTATACTTGAGTCACTGAATGTATACATACAACAAAACAAAACGAAAACTAAACAATTATTCAAGTAAATAACAAAAATCTTCGCAAATTAAATAAATGAAAGTCAATCTTAAAAATCACAGCAAAATTCTACGAATTAATCAAAAATTATTAACACATCCATGGCCAAATGAATATGTTAGCGAAATTTGCTTCAGTTATTTCTATTTTACTTTAGTTTATTTAATGTTGATTAATTTTTTATAAAGTGTAGCGCATTGTTTGACAAAAACCAAATGAATCCCAACTTTACACTTTGTATAAACCAAAAAAAAAAAGTAGCAAATGTTCATCAACATTTGAACCTTTTTATCAGACTTTCTAGAAAAGTTTTCGGTATACAAATTTACAGACTTATAAATTTTAGTATTATTTATAATGTGTAAATTTGAAGTGGCTTAAAAGTCGCATTGATTTTTGATCATTATTTTGCTGATGGTGTTATGCATTTTCTTCCATATGAAGTATGCTATTTTATTTATATGGAAGAAAATGCATAACGCCATCAGCAAAATAATGATCAAAAATCAATGCGACTTTTAAGCCACTTCAAATTTACACATTATAATACTAAAATTTATAAGTTTGTAAAACTGTATACCGAAAACTTTTCTAGAAAGTCTGATTAAAAAGTTTCAAATGTTGATGGACATTTGCT